GGTAAAGGATTTTGAACTATGGTAAAACTTCTTTTTGTTTTGTTCCCAATTTTATGGAATTGATGTTAACGATAACATGAGGGACCTTAGAATGTGACCTTTTGTGAACTGTTAAAAAAAATTAACCCTTTTTCTTTTTTGAAGAAAGCGTGAAGAGCCAACAAGGTGAGCGCAATATGAACAAAAAAAAAAAAAAGGAATCTCAGTAAGTTGAACTATGAATAAGGTCCTGATGAAGCAAAAACTTTATGTTGAAGCAGATCCTCTGTTTTTATAGAGAAGGAAGAAAGAAAACGGTACACAAATAAATTGGTGTGAGATGCAAAGAGGCATGGACAGAGAGCAAAAAAAAAAAAAGAAAAAAAAAAAGAGAAAAGGTAGTGGTCCCTCAGATGCCTCGAAGCTTTTATTTTTTTTGTGCACAGATCTAGCTCGAAGGGCCCCATTGTGGGCGCCAAACTGTTTACGATGCAAATCGGAGAGATCTTCAGAGGAAGATCCCTCATATTCGAACCACAAACTTGTTTTTAAAAGTGATAGAGAGTGGGGACAATTCAAATTCTGATCTAAGGTCAGACCTACTCAGAAATGAGCATATTTGATATCAGATTAGTGGTAGAGCCAACATTGATCTGTACAATGAAATACGAAACAAAAAAAGCGCAATACAAGAATCCTAAATTTAATAAAATAAATAAAATAACTGGGAATGGAGAAGAAAGGGTTACCTGCCCATGCCAGTTGGTTTGGGGCACCCAAGATTTCGAGGCCTCGCCCGTATCAGAACCATGGCTGTTTTTACACCGTGTCCTCTGTTGTTCTCTCTTCAAACTTGACCAAGTCTTGGCTTGGTTGAACTAGAGTTTTACTGATCTAAGGCTGAAAGTTGGTTTCAGGGGGCTTGATCTACGGTTGAAAGTTAGTTTCAAGGGGCTAGGTTGCTTCTTTAGATCTAGGGTTTGCTCTTTGCTTTCACTATTTCTCTCTGGATTCCCTGGGCACATTGTCTAAAGTGTAACACATGGTTTAACCCTAAAGTGGTTGACCAAAACCTATTTTTAAAGGCCCAAAATTGGTTGGAATGGATATATTTTAATAACAAAAAGATATGCCAGGATATTGGATCACAGGATAGGGACCATGGACTACGGTGTTCTATGATTTAGGGATATTATGGAATAATATGGTCCTAAGAGTTTTCTAAGGTTGGGGAAAACATGGAATTTACCATATTTTTTATTTAAAATGGGTTGTCTACAAGATGCAATGAGTTAGGTCATTGGGAGAGCAAGTTAAACCATTCACGTTTTCTGAGGCCCACTTACTTATATGGTTGAGAGGCTATTATGCATAGGACTTTCATATATAGTGTCCTTATAAGTACGGTGCATTCAGAAAAAAGCCCTATCTCATCTCTCTCTCTACCCCTTCTTGAAATTACCATGAATTACCTCTCACCATCATCTCTCTGATCATCTCCCCCATTGTCATATTTCATTTCTTTTCTTTTCCTCTCTACCCCTCTTGAAATTCCTTGACCTATCTATCACCCTCATCTCTCTATTCTCTACTGGCCCCTCCTCTGCTTCTTATGAGCGGCAGTACGTTTCCAAGGGACATTTTAGACTTGAGTTTGGCGGCATAGAAGCACCTGGCTCCATCCTTCTCAGTGGAGCCCCTTCGCAAAATATCCAGCCAAATGCTTAACAAGATATGGCTGTGATGCCCCTATTTCTTTTGTCTACTTCCTGCAAACTTGTAATTTTAACTTTATTTCTCATCTGCTGCTTTTCTATCACTTCTCTTGTATTCTGAGCACCCAACTTGTGGGCTGCCATTTTTACGACTTATGTGGTACTGTAAATATTATCTATATTTATTCAAAGCCAAACAATTTCAAAAAAATAAAAGGATTCCTTTGCTCATGATTGGTGGTCTGTCCAATAATGCCCATAAGTTTTGAATAGAGCTGTCATTTTCTGTCCCATTTGGACAGTTGAACTACTTCAACAAGCAAGGGATATATCTAAAAATAAGGGATATATATATACACACACCCACATGCATATATACACGGCATTTTGTTGGTCGGGGGTTAGAAAAATCCATGCCTCTTGAGCAGTGGAGCAGAGGAAAAGAACAGGCCTGCTCCCAGCATTTGGTCCCTTCCAAAAGGGGGCCCTTAAAGTTATGAACTTAGGATGAAGTTGAATATAATGATATGAAGATATAAAACATCAACAAACATTTTTAAAAAAATCTACAAACGCTTCCCTTTGCATTGAAGGGAGAATTACCTGAACTACAATCCAAGGAATCAGTTGTTTACTATTTACTTCGGCTGAGAATAAGGTTGAAGTGGGTGGCTTTGATGGAAGTAGAGATCAATTTTTAGCAATGTCCACCATGATTTGATGCAGATATCGCATCACTAGATGAATGATTGTGTTCCTAGTCAAGATTTTCCACTATGCCTGTTATAATGAGACAATACTGCACCTGTTTAGGAAAAAGCTAGCCCTCCAATTGGTTTGTGCATGCTGGATTTTCTTCTTATTTGAGTAGTGACGAGGATAGTTCAAAGCTTTTAAATATGAAATTGTTCTCTCTTTTGCATTTACGTATAATGGGGCAGATTTTGGGTCTTAGCTCTTTGGCTTTGGCAAGGATACTATGCTGAAGTTGCTTGTTAACAATTTTTAGACTTAGCTTTAGACTCTTTTATTTTTGGTTTCTATGTTGAAACAGGAGTGTCTCTCTTTCTTCATAAAGTCATTAACCATGTTTAAGTCGTTGATATTAATTACCTTCCCTACACAATAAATAACAATGAAAGAGCCAATTGTGAGTAACAAGGCTTTACTTGGGAAATGGTGGTGGCGCGTTGCTACCCAAATAGACCAGTTATGGATTGACATTCTGAAGCACAAATATCATCTTGCACCTTCTTCATGGGTACCGGAGTATAGGGCAGACAATAGATTCTCTGGGACTTGGAAATCAATCTCCTCCTCCTTAGCCTCTTTCAAAAGCCTCATTTGCTTCCACCCTAGATAGGGTAGCTGCGTTCATTTGTGGCACGACCTTTGGTTAGGCCAAGAATCCCTCAAAATCCAATACCCAGAACTCTGTTCTCTTGCTTGCTTCCAAGAGACATCGGTGGCAGATGAGATAACCTATGCCGGCTTTTTTCGAACCTGGAACCAGGTGTTAAGGAGAGCCTTATCGATTCAGAAATTCTGCTTTTCTCTGAGCTGACCATTACCCTTCAAAATTGTTTCCTTGCTTTTCAAGGTCCGGATCTCATTATTTGGACTCCTTCTCCCTCTAGTACCTTCTCGGACTCACCACCTACTTTCCCTCTTTCTCCTACATCCCCTGCAGCTCAAGCTTGGGCATCTCTCGCCTCTCCCAAAATCTAGATATTCATGTGGCTAGCTCTTTCCCAAAGGATGCTCACCATCGACCATCTTCAGAAAAGAGGCATTCCCCTTTTAAATCGACGTTTTTTGTGCACTATGGATGAAGAGAGCAATGCCCACCTATTCCTTCGCTGCCCATGCGCCGACAAGCTCTAGTGTAAAGTCCTTCGCTTATTCAAATGCCAATGAGTCTTATCCGCCAATTTATCCCAGCTCCTAAACTATCTTCAACCATTCCCCTGGCCTAAAGCAAACATTTTATTATGGAAATCTTCGGTGAAAACCACGGTTTGGGCCTTGTGGATCGAGCGGAACAATAGGATATTCCGGGGTAAACACTTATTTGGGGAATGCCTTTTCTCCAAGATGAAATCCTGGATTGTTTTCGGGGCAACCAATCACATGAGCTTCAAAGGTGTACCCCACTTTGCCTTCTACCAAAATTGGGAAGCCATTCTTCTTTTTAGACCTAATCGATTACCTCGGGCTTCCTTATGGAGACCTCCCGACCCTGAGCACCTTAAACTCAACTTCAATGGCTGCTCCCTGGGCTCCAAGACCACCTGGAGCTGGGTCCCTTCTCAGGGACCACACCAAAGCCACCCTTGGTTTCACATCCAAGAATATCGGTCATGCCGACTCAATGACTGCTGAAGCTCGGCTTTATTGGAGGGGGTTAGGCTTCTACTTCCCTTTAGACATGCCCTGATTATCATTGAGGGAGTAATAAAGTTATTGGCTGGGCATCAAACTCTTCTCGCTTCCCTTGGACCTTGGCTCACATTTTTGATGAAATTGCACATATATGCAGGGATATGCTGTCTCATGGAGGCATGTTTGGTGGGAATCAAACCAGGAAGCCGACACCCTCGCTAAAGAAGCCACGTCTATGGATAATTCCAGAACCTTTTCTGATGGCTCATTTTTTATGGCCTCTTTATGTTACGATCTTGTTATTAGGTTATTAGAAAGGCCTTTACTTCTGTGTTATATTGCACCCCTTTAGGTTGCTTTTTGCATATAGAGCTTCAGCCTATGGATAGCCTATTTATTGGAAAACTTGTATCTTCTTTAATATCAATACAATGTTAATTTTTTTTTAAAAAAATGTTATCTAGATGGATCTCCAAGCTATCGAATTTTGTCTTTAGTTGGTTATCATCAATCATGTTGATCATTGTGTCAAAACAATGAGACATTCCTTTGGCTTGACATATCTACATATCTAGCTTGAATAAGGTGATGGAACCCATCTTTGAAATATTTTTTTTGTCTTCCTTGATTGAAAGAATTTTTTTTGAAATATTACTCAAGAAGATTTAAGGGACCAAGCCAGTCATGGTATGAAATCAGTTACATGCATGTGAATATGTGTATATGTTTATATCTGCATGTGCTTGTAAGAGCATTTTGCATTTTGCATTTTGCATGAGTATCATAGCTCAATTCTCTATTGATATTTTATGTATACCTGATCTTTTATGATGGCCATTGTCATCACTTATGTTTGTCACAAAAAAAAAATGTATATATATATAAGAAAAGATTTTAAATGGATTTCCTTCGTATCTTTTGCAGACGTTCATCAGAGATATCCCTCGTCATTCGTCAAACAATGGAGGCTTGTATACTGACTCACCTTATGCCTCGGTCTCAGGTCTTATATCAAGGACTTGCTTTGTATTTTACTTATCTTTTCCTTACTTCTTGCTTTTATTCTTTGGTATATGTGTGTGTGTGTGTGTTTGGAAGATACTACAAAACGCCTATAGGCGAAAATGAACAGTGATTTCGCCTACCCTCATAACCATTAAAACTTTATCGCACAGTCACAATTTTCCAGTAGTGTTTCAATTTTTATTTTTATTTTACTAATCAGAATGATCTGAAATTTGGAACATGTGTACATCTTAGTGATGTTCACCTAATAAAAAATAATGAAAAAAA